ATCCTTATTTTCCATATTTTCTCTCTCACGTTCTCTCTTGTTCTTTCTAACTCCCTTTGGCAAAACCCATTTCATTGCCTTAGAAGAAATGAGTTCAAACAAAATAATTTTATTTGTGCCTAATTTCCGTCATGACTGATTTTCCATCTTTTTTATCTTAAGTGGTCTCTATCCTCCCCAGCTTTGTTAGTGTTATTACATACATTTACACCAAAACTAGAAATCACACTCCACATTCGTAATCTTATTGAATAATGCATCAACTGATAGATCACATTACCTTTATTAGGAAAATTAAGATAAATCAGTAGGAATCAGTTAACACTTTGGAAAAACTCCGTCCAGCTAAAAGTTCACATTTGTCCAAAACATTCATTATTAGTATACTATTTAACAGATAATGATGTAGAATATAAGGACCTGGGACCTGTTACATAAAATCACTGGTTTAAACTTCCTGGCCAAAATTTAAGTTTTCTTTGAACCAAAATAAATTTGAATCTTTCTGCATGCATCTTGCTGATATTGTGATATTTCAAATGATATGACCATATAAAAGAACAAAATCAGCTCTACTACTATTATATGATACAGATGAATCAGATGCTACAGATGAATCATTTGATTGCAGTTGCCTAATTTGATAACTCTCTGACTTCTATCACAAATGTTTCCATATTGAACTATTAGCATCAGAAAGAGGACATGTGCCAACTCACATACCTCCAAAATCTTCACCTTCATTAGTAAAAGTGATACTTTGATCACTATCACTACTGTCACTACAGGTCCCTCAAATCTCTCAAAGTGTTTCAAGATCTCTCAAATTTGGAGAGGTGGGGCATTTTTGATTTCATCAACTGGTAGTTTTGCTATTCACTTTACTTAAGCAGAGAAGGTGTGAAAAATAAACAGCTTTATTAGTTTAGAACTATTCATTGTGTGGAAATGACTGTAAAACCTGCTATGCATCTTTTATCTCCCCAATCTTGTCAGGTCATCAAATGAGCTTTGGACAGAACAATGAAAACTGTGGTCATTGAACTGAACTCCCCTGACCTTAGCCATATATCAATGATTGCAAATGGATGCCTTAAAGTGGATAAAAATAATCCGTTAACACAAAGCACTAGAATTTAATAGTGCAACACTATCCATCAGCTAAACAAAAATAATATGTTATAATCATTAAAATAGAAATAGGGCCCTTGATATCACTCTCGTTTTAATTCCGCCATTAATGATCTACCTGTGGTACTTAAAGTTGTCACCTGTTCAGGTGTCAGTGTGCCGAGGTTCCTCAGATTTGGTTGATTAAGCACTAACATTGGACTATCTATGATACTGTTAATCAGCCATCATATTTCTGTATACTGTATACAGGTGCTAATTGAAACCTCAGAGAAAGTAACTAGATTAAATATGTTTACCCTCATGGCTACAAAAGTGGCTCTTTAAACTTGAGGACAATAAAAAAATGGTAAAATTTATGACAGGAAATTTCTGGAAGGTCTTCTTTTGAAATTCATTCAGTGTTCCAGTCCTGAAAGTGATTTAAACAAGTTTTGAAAAAAAAAAGATTTCAGTTATTGTGATTCTTTCCTAACCTTGCCTACTTTCTGCAGGGGCGGATTTACGGGGTCTTCTGGGTCTTCCGGAAGACGGTCAGATTTTCAAGTTTACATTGACGGGTATCTAATTATTTCTGTCGGAAGACGGTCAAAAAATGGAGGATGGATCAACAAAGATAATTTGGAAGACTGTCAGAAAATAACTCTGGATCCGCCCCTGTTCTGTGCCTGTATAGTATAGCTGTTTAAGGCCAATTTGGGCACATTTACCACCTGCATACCTCTTTAATTGATGCACATGATTTATTTCTTTGCACTTATACGCTCTGACTCTCCAGCGTTCAGATCAAAGCTCATCTTCCTATAGTACCTTGAATACATGCACCTGACTGATTGACTTACAGATACACGCCACAATTTAGTCACCTACCAATTAGTACACTTTCAAGTAAGCAAAGTGGGAGCGACACCAGTGACACCTGGTGGCCATTCTGACTGCACTTAAACAAAGCCGACTCGTCAATACAAATCGGACAATGGATATTATTAGCCTGCGAATTAGAGTCGTCATCCTTTGCATTACTTCACCCAAGACTTTTGCCAAGTTCATCCCTGCCCAACTCTCTCAATATCATGCTAATGCACATGAAAAACAATTTCCAGCACCATTTAAAAATTTTATCATCCAAACTGATGCGTCCAAGGACATGTTTAATAGCACAATTTCTTTCTGGAATCATTTTCCAATTCCCGCAGGCTGCCAGCATGATAAATCATCGTAATAAACACATCCAGTTGCAGGCCCCCTAGCGGTACTCGGATTAGCACACATGGGTCCCCAGGGATTCTGAAGCCAATTTTTCTTTCCATTACATATTAATTCTGATAGTTCTTCATTTCTCTTGGCTCCACCGAGATGTGCTGAATTATCGTGAAGTTCTCAATTTCAACCAGACTGTTTCTGATGTCAAGGAAGAAATTTGCAGTGCAACTGATTTTCTGCTTTTTTCTTCTTCTCCAGGATCTTATTGCTTTGTCACATTTCCCATTGTGTCTTTTGGTGTATACTGATTCATAGTTTGAAATCTTTGCCATCCATTAGTAGTCAGAAATGTGTAAACTGATTTTATGTTCAATGTTCTGGAACAGGATGAGCAAATCCTGACATGTTGTCTTGCCTCCCCCCCCCCCCCCACTCTTTATCTCTCTCTCTTTCACACACATGTGCCAGCATGCACAACATGCAAACACACATATACAAAACATTATCAGCCATAACACTTCAACATCCCATTGAGTTGTTTTACAAATGTTTCCAACATGTAAAGAGGTGCACACACACTCACACAGACACACAAAAAAATATAAAATAAACAACAACCCAAAGCAACATTTACGATAGCAAAACCCTGTCGCCTGGGGACCAACAGCGGAAGTATGAATTTTAATAAACAGTTCAAGTTCTCAATTTCAATGATTCATGGGCTGTCTGAGCTATCTCTCCAGTCAATTCAATGTTGTTTGGTTCAGCACCCAAGAGACTCGCATTTTCCCCAGTGTTTCTAGTACTTCCTAGCTCCCTGGCGATATGATCAGCCTCATCAATATACTCATTCCTGGCCACACATCAGCCACTGGGGCCCCTAGAGCTGTGTAAGTGTGTGTTCAGTTTGTTGACATGCATGGTCAGGGCCCTCCAGGGCTCACAGGCTGCGAGGAGTGGTGTGAAATGCCACGGCCAGGGTTAACAAAAAATATTGTAAAGGAATCGACAATCGTTTCTTAGTAGCTTAGATTGTTAATTATTATTGTTGATTAAGTTCCATTTCACAAAGAATATTTTTGATCATTTATTTACTCTTCTCATAGTTGTTATACAATTTTTCATAATCTTTAAACTAATTATGATATTCAAAGAAATGAGAACTACCATTTAGCAGAGTGTATGTTTGTGTGTGTATGTGTGTGTGTGTGAGCGTGGGCTAACACATGCATGCATGCAAGTTCATGCACATTTATAAAACCCCAAATTGTTATAGTACAGAAAATAAAATAAATTGCTCCCAGGATTTCAGTGTTCTAGGAACCGACCACCCTCTAATCACAGATATCAGCAAGTCTCAGAGATTGTGTCTGTGAAATATGACAGCCCCTCCATTCCTGACTAAGATCATTCCAAGTATTCTGGTACCATTGTTCTTTTTTCAATTGTTTATTGTCAACTTAAAGAGAAAATAGGTGAATTATGAATATTGAAATATAGCAAATTTTAACACATATAAAAATATGGCCAAACTATATAAATTGTAAATATTTAAACATTGTTTACAAAAAGTATCAAATAAAGTTTGAGATAACACAGAAAGACTGATGGTAAAATGATTTATTCATTTTGCACTGAACAAAATTATAATATAAAATGTTCTTAAACTGTATATAGATCTTACGTAACTTAACATTTAAAAGGTGATACTTAAAAAGGGGCTAGCACAAAAAAAAAAGAAAGAAAGTGCTTGATCGATTTTGTTTTAATGAACGTTTTGTTGAAGTCACTGGAAGTACATTTATATCTTAAAGAAGAAGTTCTCTTAACAACATCATTAAGTCTAGCTTCACACACACACCTATAAACACAAATGCATGCACACTCATGCCTGCTTGCACGTGCGCACACACATACACACACACAAACACACACACACACACTCACACAGACAGATAAATGCAACACAGTTATAGATATATATGTATATGGTATCCCAAAGCATGGTATGGGAATTTTTTCCACTGGGACTTCATGATGCTTGCTGTATCAGAAGGCCAATTACTGGAGATAAAACATAAAGTAGCCCGCGCCGCGGTGTGCCAAACACACAATTAGGCCATTACCAGTGGAAGAGCTAGCTGATAATGTACAGAACATCTTGAACTTGCCAGTGCAAGCCGCGTCTGTTCAACAATGGGATCTTTCAAATTGTATTAGCATTTCCAGCATGTTGGTTTGTTGTCTACTTCATTTCTTCATTCCAAAACAAGTATGTATACATGATCAGACTCCTCTGTGTGTGTGTGTGTGTGTGTGTGTGTGTGTGTGTGTGTGTGTGTGTGTGTTTGTGTGTGTGTGTGGGGGGGTCTACTTGAAGTCAAAATTTGATTTTTAAGAAGGAGTATGCTATGGAGGGAAAGGGGCCCATTTTTTCAGTAAAAAAAGAAACCTAGACCTGTGGTTTTTCATCATCTCTTGTTTAAAAATGGTTAAAAAACTTATTTGTCATGTCTCACAGATAAAAACGCATGCAGGATTTTGGAAATAATTAATTTTTAACTGGGTTATTAAGAATTTATTAAAACCCACCAGTATGAGAGTACATTTCAGCAGCTGATATTTTGAATCTAGCTAAAACGTACAGCACTGTTGGCAAATCATACCTGTAATACAGACAGAGTTCTTGTGGTCCATGAACACGTGTAGACTGTAGAAAGTGGTACTGCAGCTCTCACAGGTGTATGGCTCCTCTCCCTCATCTCCCGCTACCATGGTGACATCATTGACCTTATTTGGAGATGCTGCCATGACAACAGCACTCCCTTCACCTAAAAAGGAGACTGGTGATCCAAGAAAAGTTCAACAGAATATTTTTAACTACGGTGACATTAGAGAAGTTTTACAAATTATCTTGGTTGTTGTTATCATGAAAATCTTTCACAGAGCTGACTTAAAAACTTTCCCTAAAGAGAAATGTAAAGAAAGTATATGTCACCTTCTGGGAGTATGCTTATTGCTTTGTTAAACAGTAACACCTTTTTCTCCAATTACCAGCACCTTTGAGGGTGTAGATATGCTATCAGCTTTAAAGTTGCATTTTAAATGAGCATGAACTTCCACATTTAAACCAGTTCTACTAGTGTCTTGACTTACAAAACAAATATTTAATTTTCCTGGATATTTTCAACACTTTTTCTTCAAACACCAAAATATCATTTACAAACCCATTGAAAGAATTACGATCCATAGCATGATCAGTTTTTCCAGTGCCATGTTTCTATGCTTTCTATAGATCATTTTGTTCTCAATGGTTCTAAATATAGTACCCTGGTGATAGAGGTCTAATAGCTGTAAGTTCCAGGAAAATTAATTTCTTTGTCCATAAAGGTCTACACGCAATGTTTATCTTGCAAGGTACTTTTTCAGTTTGTTTTTTTTCTACTTGGAGTATCTGGTCCCCACCTGTTGCTTGGAATGCTTCATAATCTTCCAGTTTGAGCAAGTCCTGTGGGTTGTCAACACAGGCAGTCTCTGCTTTTTCTTCTTCCTCATCTTCTCCTGCAAAACATTAACAGGTAATATATGTAAAACACTAATATATGTGTATGGCCACTTTGCACGTCAACTTTTGGAAAGCAGGTTTTGCTTGTTATTCTTTTTTTTCAAATCTACCTATTTCAGGCATTGTTATTAATTGTCTAAGAATTTTTTCTCTTTTGGTAGCATATCATCATAACCATGTTACCTTGTTTTTATTTATTTATTTATTTTTGTGGTGGGTTAAACAATATTTCTTCAAAATACCAGCTGGAAAAAATAAATTGATTAGCATTTTTTTTTCACTCTTGAAATAGTTCAATTCCTATTGTATTTTTTTATCTTAAATATCATGTGAATTTGTTCAAATAGTGAAAAGAAAGGTTACTAGTAGGTACAGGCAGTGGACATATGGAATAGTAAATGTAATAATAAAGTACATTTCTATAATAGACACTTATACTCTACTGTACATGTCATCCAATTTCCATAAAATAAATAGCCTTTAAAAGCACTTTCAGGACTCACAATGACCAAAAATTAAATTTATGTGACAACACGTCAAGTAAAATTGCTTTGACTCAATTATATTACTTTTTACAGTTTAACCATTTGTATATTGGACGCGTCGTAAAAAGTGGTTTTAAGTCTTCCCATTATTCTTGACTGTAAATTAAGACATTCCCAATGAGCAGGTACTCTAGTCTGTTAACCACTTAGGGCTCTATTTACTCTCTTTTTCTGTCCTTTGAGTGGTTGTGTAGTTTAATAACTCTCACCACTACCAGAACTTTCTTTTTAACCATTCACATAGGGATTACAGACATTTGGACTTACTGGAGTCAGATATTCAAAAATCTAATTCACAGAGCAATTGCACAATCTATTTTCAGCAATATCTAACTTTTTTGTGAAGTAAGAATCAGAAGTGAAACATTTAAGAAAAACTTGCAGGATACACTGTGTTGCTTTTTTAAATCTTCAATTTTGCAAATGTTTTTTGTTTCATGCAACTGTGGTTACTTGGACTAATGAACATATTTGATAATTTAAAGTAGTCTCTTAAAGGCTGGGCTCAACTTTTTAGAATCTGTGCTGGATCTTTCTAGTCTTACTCAGAATATTGCTGATATTTTGGCCCCATAACTCCCACCCTACCTTCCTCCAAACCCATCTCTTCCTATTTCCCAGTTAAAAGGGAAATGTTACCCTCTGATCGGAGGTTTGTTTCACAACATAACTTAGGACCGAATCTTCGTCTCAACTTACAGACCATTTTTTTTTTCATTTTGACCCAAGATTAGTCAGTCATAGACCCATCTCCGAGGGGTTTCTTACAAAATTACATTTAGCTGAAGTGGCTTAGATGTCTGTAGTGCCTACTTAAGCTGTTAGGGGGTTATTAACTATCGTTTAGCAGTTTCAGTAGGCGTGCCAGACATCTAAGCTGCTTAGTCTGAGTGCAACTTAACAAGAGTCCCCTCGGAGATGGATCAATCCTGTTAGATCGATCTAGGCATGGGAATGGGGTCTTAGACCCCATTTCCAGAGATAAGATCGATCTACTTTAGATCGACCTAACTCCCTGGGGGTTCACGCTAAATAGCTGTCAGCCGGGCGGACACGAAAGTTAATTACCCCCTTACAGCTTGTAGTATGCAGGACGGACATTTAAGCCGGATTATCTGACACTAATCTAGTGAGACTCCCCGCGGGGATAGATCGATCTAAAAGCTCTGGGAATACAGCCTTAGTAAACCCTTACTGAGAAAGTGTGCCTGTTTAAAACAAAAAGATATGATTCAGGATAGACACTACTTAATGATAAATGACTACCATGGATTTACACTAGGTTGAGGTAGACCAAACCTCTGGTGCCAAAGTGTAGATTCAACTGTTGGTCATATTATCCTTTGGAGAACTGACCCCAGTAAATGGTGACATGAGCTAGTCCTAACAAAGGCCCAAATCCCAATAGACAGAGTTGAGTCGATCCACGCGATATTAGATCTTAGATCCACTTAAACCAATGGTGTCTATGGGAATGGTGTCTCAGTGCTGCTTCTAGCGCAGGTCTATCATGGATAACCACTAAGCTAGGCCACAGTTATATAGAGCAAATCTCTTTCTTTATAAAATTAATCACACGATGACGTTCTTCAACCTCAGGTAACAGGCTAACTGGCCACCCGCTGCTGATCGCCTCCCTGTGAAGGGAGAGAATTAAGGCTTATTTATGGATTACTTCAGCATGGGGGTCTCAATGGGTGTCCTGTCCCCTGCTGGCGCTGGCTTTACAAAACAATATGTGACTGAAAATATGGTCTGAGAATATTATTCCAGAATCGGATTACTGTGTGGAAGTCCCCTAAAATGCATGAACTAAGGTTCTAAAACACTAGTCATTATTTTGTTCATATTTTGGTGTTTTATCTTTTATTACATTGTACTGTGTATAGTTAGCATCTACTGAATGCCACACACATAGAAAATAATAATTAAAAAACTGAAATATACCCTAAGGAACGATTTCAATAAATAAAATACAAATCAAATACTAGTATATGCAGATATATAAAGTGATTTTTTTCTCTCTTCCTTTTTTATCAGCACAAAAGGGAAGGGGTTGATTTCATTTCCTAAAAATGTCTGAAGTTAATACAATCTGCACATCTTCATCTTTACATACCTACCTTTATGAGAAACCTTTGTTATTTTCTGCGCTCTGGGATTTGATGCAAATGTTACCAATGAGCTAGAGTACTTATGCTTTGCAAGTTCTTTGCCTAGAGGGAAATCTAGAAGCCACTGAGCTGCAGGTAAAATTGTCTGCGGATGACGCAATGAGAAAAGACAGTTTCATCTCAGCTATCTCACAGCAGGAAAGGTTTCTTGATTTGACCTTTTTGGTTATCGATTTTATGTATTGTGCTCTCCTTTCATTTCTTTTATTCTGGTATTGTTTGGAAATTCATCTTTCTTTCAATCAGGATCTTCCTAATTACGTCTTCGGATTAAATATCCTCCCTTTTTTCTCCACAATATTGGTAAATGTGATAGGCAATGATTATGTATCACCGCAATTATCAGCTCACAATCAAACAAAGTCAGAACACTTGCAAAATATTTATCACAACTAATAACAATTGGCGGACTGAGTAATTTCAAGAAATGAAAAGTAATTTTTTCAAAATAAAAAAGTATGAATGATCTTCCTAAATGCAATTAGTGTCACTGAAACTGCTCTTAATGTTAAGCCTGTAATGCACATTTGAGAGAAATGATCAGATATAAATCATAATCTCTCTGATGTCCAATTTGCTTTTAATAAAGTACATTTCACTGTCTTGGCTAGACTTACATAACAATTTTGAGCAGCATTTTACCTATGTACTAGTAGACGTTCCTTGCATATTCCAAACTTGACCAAAATATGGTTCTGTTAATGCTGGTATAGGCACCACCATCCCCATCACAGAACCCTTAGCAAAATATCAGGCCTGCTGCAAATTGGCAGCAAATTTGCTACAATATTGCTGCAAATTGGCAGCAAGAAAAAATTTCTTGCAAGCTCCTGCAAACCTGTTTAAGTTTGCAGCAATATTGCTGCATATTTGTTGCAACATTTTGCTAAGGGAAGATATGGCACCAGTTTTGAATAATAATAATAATAATAATAATAATAATAATAATAATAATAATAATAATGCAGGGGTTGCCTTTTGACAAGCATCCTTGTACCTTACATATTATAGTAAATTCTCTCACTCCTGTGTTAATTTTGTCTCTTTTTACTTGAAAAAATATTTCATCCCACCCTCCCCCCCCCTTCCCCACCATCAAAATCCTTGATCCGCCAAAGATTTGTATGAGAATGGCACTACACCTACAGTATGTGGAAACACTGTAAAAAGCTGCCAAGAGCACAAAATCTGATCACCGCAGAACACTCAGTAACAAAATTTACCAAAGCAACCCACTTTGTCTAACAGTTACGCCTCACCTCTCTCTTCCTCAATTGTATCCCAACACCAGTAATATAAATCACCCTGTTCAAAGCAATTCAACCCTTACCACATTGTCAAGTGAAAGGTGGCAAATGTTTTGGGTGATCTGAAGAGTTGGAACAGGACATCTTGTACTGCACTTACACCCTCAGGCTTTATTCATTGTAGGGTAATTATTCAAAAATTCCAAATACCTTTTTTATTCCGGTATTTTTTTTCCTAGATATTTCTGTTTAAATTACCGAAAAAAAAAGTAATTTCTTATTCCCTTTTTTTAAATCCAGATTCTCTTTTTCGGATAATGGGGTATTACTTACAAATTGGTGTTCTGAGATGTCAGCATTCAAATTTATTTAAATATAGCAAGCAATTTACCATTCTTTCACTAGTGTTTACTGTTTTCTATACCTTTTTTTAAACTATCAGTTCCATTTGAACTGATAAAGCTATGCTGACAACAGGCAGAAGTTCCTGTGTTTCTACATTACCAGACATAAAAAATTAACCTTTTCTATCTTTTCTTTGTTTAATTACTTTAATCATCCATCAAATTTTGGACAAAAAACAATGATAAATTACACTTACCAAAAGATGTTATTACCATACTATACAAAAGATTGACTTGAAAACTTTGGAAAGGGAGTTTGATTCAAGCAAGAAAGTATAAAATTATATTTTGAAAAAGAATTAACAAAGGTGAATCTTTTTTAAAAATAAAACACTGAAATGACCATGGTGCTTGAGTTTGTAGGTTATCACTATACAATTGCAATTAAGTGGGTGCCTGCACAGCAGTTATACAGACAATCAATTTTCAAATGAAAAGCTAAATTTATCTTTTTAAATGGCATTAGTTGAGTCCACCTAAGTGACTCCACATAATTTGTCCACACGCTTCATTAGTTTTTTTTCCCAAGATGATAATGTTGGAAGAAATAAAAAGGACAAATTCCCTTAAATTTCATTGTCTATTTTGAACTTCTATTTTTTTTCCCCTCATAGGCACTGCTGGGAATCAGAGTTCATCGTGAAAAAGTTCTTAAAGGTTAACCTTTAGAAAAAAAAACTTAAAAACCTCTTTGCCTCTTGTTAACATCCTTATCTCCCTTCCTTAAAATTGTGTAATAATTTGATTTTTCCTCAGTTGTTTTAAAACATCTCAAAGAACACTTCAGACTGCATGCCAGGTTGAAAAAGACTGCCTTTGTACAACTCAAGATCAGGCCTTCAGCGCAGCAAGGGGCATTTGCAGCGCTAAATAAGATCTCTGCTACAGCAAACGCACATTCAGCACCCCATCGAGATGTCAGTTTTTTTCACATCCGACCCAACAAAAATAAACCCATTAAAATTGAAGACTAGTGGAGCTGCCAAGTACAGCTCAGCGTGCTCCCCCATCCCTCCCAACACCCTGGTGCTTTATTCATTTCCTTTTCCATTCCCTTCGACCTGGGGAGAATGCACAAACAATCTGCTTATTGTTCAGGCCTGAATGCCACCTGACTCAGAAGGGAGCCTTCAAGCCCACAGGAATTCACCCAGCCTCATTCAGGGCCTTAATCACTTGACCCCCATGGGGCCCCGCGCTCTGGATGGACAATGCCGACTCCCACTGGGACTAGCGGATCAGAAACATTCAGGAATAGAATGAAATATTGAAATGGTCTTTTCAGATACCATATAACTGTAATGGCTCAGTCTGTCTCTGGTGAAATAACCAGGCAATGGTGTTGAGGAAAATTATGAAAGCTGACAATCAAGGCATTACCACTGGCACAAAGGTTCTGATATATTACTGACAAAATAATGGGTATATGCATTGACTTTGTAATTTACTAAAAACAATATTGAACATGTTTCAGTTATGCTTCACTTCTGTTATATAAGCACACACAAAAACCGACAGAATTATTTATAGCAATATCCAAATTAAAATCTCTTACTAATACTCTATTAATAGGCAACAATTAACCACAAATCAAAGCACTGCTATTTTCACCTTCCAATCATAATTTATTGCAAAATGAATCTCTGATGGCACCTCTGACATGACAAATGTGCTTAATTATCTGTCCTTGGACAAAAAAATTTTAATACGTTTTACATCAATTAATTATGAGTTTACTTTAATTGAGTTTTAAATTGATGTAATACTGCACAGAAAAGTGTTAACTAATTAGATGGTAACTGGAAGTTGTAATGAATCTCAATACTGACGCGTCTCCATTAACAGTAAAATAAAACCAAAAAGAACATTTTTGTACTTTAACAAGCAATTAAGAAACACAACGTTCTAATTGCTTCACTTACGTTTCAGCGCCCGCGGCTTGGCTTGCTTTCTTCGTGACATTGGTGTTAACGTTCACGCGTACGGCTTGAACTGTGAGGACGCTCTCCTTGCCCCCTCCTCGCTGGCTAGGTACTTGGTCTATCTTCACACGGCGTTTCTAGGAAACAGCAAGCCCCTTGGTAGAGGTACAAGAGCGTGACCAACCTGTAGCCGTAAGTCACGGTCGTCTACCTCGGCGAGATGCTCAGTCCCTTTCAGTCTCAACTACCTTCTTCGTCTTTTGCCACTAGTAAAACACCTCCGCCGCGTGCAGCCTTCAGCTTGGCTGTGAGGGCGCTACGTCATGCCTTGAATATTGAATGCTAAGCCTCCGCTGACACCCAAGTGATTTGGGCCTGCCTCGAGCGCCGCGGCAAACGTCTCCCGGGGAGATTTGAACTCAAAGAACGGACTTTGCTCCCCTGAGAACCACTTGATTACATCCTGGCAGCTCGCATTATTCCTCGGGCCTCTTGGGGCGGATTGCCAGTTCATTACAGGGTGTAATTCACCAATGAAAACCGCGGTCCCAGTAGGGTTCCGATCAATCATCCTCCCCGCTCACCATGTGTAAACACTCGCCGCCTGCACATGCGCCGTAGCAGACGACTCCTGTGGAGAGCTCGATAGAGGGCGTACCGTCCTGCCAAGACGAGGAAATGTCGGGTTTATTCTGAACAAAAGTTTTGTCTGCATTTTGAAGCAATTTGAATAGGCCTAGATCTAGATGTTTGCCAATTTTAGGCTTTCAAATATGTATTATCGTTTGCATTTTATTTGGAATTATATATTCATAACAGCCCATCATATATCATTTAAAGTGAACTATTTTGTAGGCCTATGGTTTGGTCATAACCAACTTAGAAATACCAGAATAACTGAAATATTGTAAGCCTGTGCGTATGACGTTGGAAACATTGGAGAGGGAGGTAAGTTGATTAGAAATAATTTTTAAAAATAAATATTTCCCAAATTCTAATCTACGTTTTCAAAATTGTGCATTGATTTGATTAGTGTCTCAAGCTAAACGCACCTCAATAAATTTTGCTAACGGTAGGCAAATTTCAAAAGGCCTCCAAAATTTAACAGAATTACACCCCTGAAATGCGTAAACTATGTTAATTGCGGTCTGATGCGGCAGATCCAATTTGCTATATATCTGATTGAGATAATATATGCTTATTATTATACATAAAAACACATTGCTGTGAGTGCTGCAGCTCGTCTCAACTGTCGCAGCGGTCGTAGCTCATCCGTACACATTCAGACACATTGCTCTGCACGCGTGAATTTGCTAAATGCGCATTCCCAATTAAACTATCGTTCTACGTAGATCGATCCAACTTTGTTGAATGTAATCCAGATTAACTGAATGATGCCCCTCCTCTAGCAGCTACGGGGTGATTAATTTTCGTATGGATTCGATCGCACTCAAAACGAAGTGGAAAAGTTTACAGAAGCCTAACAAAATGTCACAACTGTATTTAATTTCCAAAGGCTCTCCACATATCGATAAACCAAATCTGCCAGTGATAGACTTACTTCCAGTAGAAGTCCCAACGCAAATGTGTCAGGACAAATAGGCAAATTTTTACTCATAAGCAGCCTTCCCCAATTGTCAAATTTACGTTCTTTATATAAAAACAGATGATCGACATTGACTATCATTTCTGAATAAAAATATAAGTGACTTGGCCGTTGGAAGCCAAATGACTTGAAAAAATGTATCTTTTACAAAGTCAGTTTTTGGAGCTCTGTACAAAACTACAATCCAAATAATCTGTAGTGATTTGTTTAGCTCCGAGCTTTAGCTTATTTAAAATTATTCTTCGTGTTGCCTCTACTTGTTTAAGACCAAATGATACAATCATGTGTTTGAGACCGATGACTGAATAGGGGTCTGCATGTCTACATATTTCCGAAATTAAATTATATGATTGGCTTTTTAAATGTTTTATATGAAGTACGTAAATATAGGTTATGCCAGTTAAGATGCTAATATGTCTTTGAATAGCACCCTGTTTAACTGACCTGGAAGGCACTGCACTACATGTATATACAGTACTACAAGTGTTATATTGGGAAATGTTGAAGGACGAAGTAAGATCGAGCAAGGCCTCGAATGCTTCGTAGAACAGGGTGTTGATAAAGCATCATCATCAACAACAACAACAGCTATAAATTATTATATCAGTCACTGCTGCAGGCCCATTTGTAGAAACCGAATGCGTGATCACATATGAGAAGATTGTGCGGTTGTGCTTATGTTGAACCTAAGTTGCTCACCTAACACATTTCTTTCCTAGAATCACGTCAAATTTCAGTTGACTGAGTATATAACGGCTAGGTCAGGAGCGCATTACTGTTTGCTGAGAAATGAAACTAGAAGTGCTCGTATATTATTTTTACATAAACATTTTACAAAAAAAAAAAAAAAAAAAAACACCCAAGAAACCTTAATAGTTTTTTTTAAATGTATGTTATGAACGATTCCAACTATCTCAAGTGTAAGATGTCTTTCATATGAAAAAAAAAACAACAACAAATTCTTCAAATTAAAAAATATGTTCATATCCATATCATTAATTGATATAGAAGTGTTGGGTGGTTTTATCTTTTTATTAATAGGTTGATGGATCTCTCTCTCTCTCTCTCTCTCTCTCTCTCTCTCTCTATCTCTCTCTCTCAGTCTAAAATGTTTCTCCTTCAGGGGTCTTAACCCCATTTTTTGCCTCCAACCAGACACGCAGAGAATGGCGTCGTTGTAAATCTCGGAAACCCCCAAAAGACATGCTCATTTATCATCAGAGTCTAACCGTGGTTTCTTCCTTGTTTTTAAGCACGTAGAGCATTTTGGGGAACGGAGAAAAAAGCTCAGATAATTTTTGGCTTTTTTCTTTCATTTTTTGTAATCCATAAGACGACAAATACAGTAGAAGTATTTACTTGCATGATTGTCTTTATTCATTATTTTTATCTACATTTATTTTTCAAAATACTTATTTGCTTTTACAAAGATAATTAATAACATTAGCGAACGAAAATTTCAAAGAACCGATTATCGCCATTAATCTTTTTCATCCTTTACATAAATAAGTATATTTGACAGATTAACAGCACCTTTGCTTTGTATTTTCATGTACTAAATAAGAGATCCTTGATCATTTCATTGAAGTTTTTTGGAAGTTTTTTTTTTCATATATAGAACGTGTTTGAAAGGTTGTCAAAATTTGGGTATAATTCGGTTGATTTGATTTTGCAAATAATGTAATTTTTTTCTTATCTGGACATAGATTTGAAATTATTAAGAGACGCGTTAATTAATAAATTCGATGCAAATATTGCACTTTTCACTCAATGCAACAATCACCAAAAACAAACAAACAAAAAACAACAACAAAACATTGATATCATTCTCATTATTTTCTGATGCGATGCCGCTTTGAAATTTATTTTCGAATAGGAAAATGTTCCATAAAAATAAATAGCTTGTTTTTGAGTGATAAGCAAATTTTTAATTTACAAAGATAAGAGGACGGTTTAAGTCAACAAAATTCCATTAACAATTTCTTTTAATTTTATTATGATAAATATTTTGGACACATGCAATTGAATCAATCATAATCATGTTTTACTTAGTAGCCTACCAATGAAGAGTGATACAATTTCAAGAGCTTCTTTTGACCTTCTTGATAAGATATCGCATTGTACTTACTTTTCCTAACTGCCTAGTGCGATTCAACAAAGATAAATGTTTTTGGAATAAGAAATGTGAATGATGAGTATCTTTCACACAAAATTAACAGATATAAAGTTGTGAAATTTTCACGCATGCGGGGCGTTTTTACCACATTAAAATTATTTCATTAAATTCATACTAAGAATTTCCTCTCCACCTTCTTATGTTATCAAAGGTTGACTTTTTTCAAACATTAAGTTAAGTGAATAGAAAGATGAACGACTCAATTAATGCATTAATATAATATAATATAATATAATATAATATAATATAATATAATATAATATAATATAATATAATATAATATAATATAGAATTTTAAAAAATTGTTACATTTGTGTTTTTTTTTTCTGTTTTCCACCACGTGGGGTTAAACTGAGAAGTTTGAACTGTTAAACATACCACGACTGGTTGGCTCTGTTGCACATTGACCCGGACTATTCGCAGAAAATCAAATTAGAACCCGTGGAAAGTGATACACAAATATAGAAATTCAAACTAATTTTAACCTATGAGGTAGGTACAAAATGAGTTCGTCGGGTAGAATGTACTTTTTCAAGCAATACTTCAGGTTACATGTACTTGTAACTTTTATATACACCTAGCACAGCCTTTATGTGTATTGATATCGGTTTATTGATAAGAATTCGTGAAGATTATAAATCACTGAGTGTGATACTTTTCATCATTTTTTTATTCTGGGTCTGATGTTTTCAGTTATTTGTTGTGAGATTTAAGACTTAACGCCCACTGAATAAAATGAAACTCACTACAAGCCGGAAGTTAAAAACTGCAAAGAAATAGAAAGTATGATGAAAACGTGAAATTTACCATGGCAGGAAGACGATTAAAATATACTACCATTTTTTCACGCAACTAGAATGATATCTTCCCCATACCACCAGTCACATGTATGAAGTATTTAAATAGCATACGATCTAAAGAGTATTTCAACTCCTTTTTTCAAAAATCTGGTGTGCTTTGTTGCGTTTTGTTTTACTTTTGTCCTGATCTTGAACATCTCAGACCGACGTTCAACTTTTAACACATGGCCTTCTGGGCAAATGGTCGACAGAAGAAACGATCACGTTGCTTTCCTCTTTCTCTCTGAGAAAATCCAGATATCTCAAACTGCTCCTTCGGGCAATAAATCTTTCCCTAACGCCGGTCTCTCCCCGCGAGCGTGCGCCCGGCTACGCTACATCGTTCCTAAAATATATGTTTTGTGCGCGAAACGGTCGATTTGCTTGGGATTTACACGTCCTTGTGTGATTTACGTGGGCATTTAATGTAAACTCTATGCCCCATTTGGTGTCATAGTACATTGTTTCTTAATTCTGAAATATGTGAAAGCCTTCGTGAAATGGAAGCGATGATGAAAGCTTTTCACCTGTGGAATTTTCTTTGCCTTTTCAGTTCTTGTAAATATGCAAAGAATTCTATTTTTGCAAAGTTTTGGTGGAACAAAGGATACGATTCCAGCGAAACATGTCAGATTCATTGGAAAATGTATTCTATCTTTCAAAGGAAAATGCTTTTTATCAATGTACTTTTAAACGAATAAAAGCAGGCACACGGGAAGCAACCGTGTCAACCGTAAGGGCGGAAGTTGACGTTTCTTACCACATAGAATCTAAATATTTTGGATAATATTCGATTGTATACCCCTACAACTGCAAAAAATCGCTTAATATTAAAAAACAACAGAACATTTTAACTTTTTCATAGAAAACAGGAACCCATAGATTTTCTTGATAATGCAGTTATAACATCTAGTCAGTTTTTCTAGTTACCAGAGACAGTTTCAGAAACGAAATATTTTGCTCAATTAAAAAAGCTCAAATCTGTACAAGACCTCTTAAAAATAATAAAAACGCATTAACTTTCGATACAATGAAAACTGTTTTATTGGCCGCTAACATGGAAATCACCTATAACGCGTTATGATATAAGTTCATTTTTGCTGAATGATATACCATTTTCCTTAATCACCTTCACATGAAATGTTATACCTTG